GCCGAGCAGTGCATGAGGGAGCTTCGTGATTCTCTGATGCATGTGATGGGTTTTCGTAAGCAAGTTTTGACGCAGCAGAACTCGCGGCGGGATCTATCTCAGCAAAATGCCCGCAACTCGGCAAGTAAGATAAACTCGCTGAATAAGACTGAGCTGCAGCGACTCCTTGGGGCCTTCGAGAGGCAGCGTGATGCCCGTGCCTCGAAAGCACAGCTCGTCGCGGCGTTGCTTCAAACGCAATTGGAGGTACGGAACGGCACAATTAATCTGGAAGGTACTACAGATGAACAGCGCCCGGAGGTAGTGTTTCTGGTAGAGGCGAAGAACGTGGTATGCGAGGCTCTAAGAGAGGCTTCAGTCGGCGCTTGAGTTATGAAACCTCTTGTGACTACAATGGGCATGCGGGAAGGCAGCCGAAATGAGATGAAAGTATTGCAAGCGCTCAGAGAATTCTTGCTTAGACAGGAAGCTGCATATGCCCGGCCGTTTGGTTCCTCTGTTTTTGTGAAGGAGAGTGGCAGGCGATGTGTCATCAGACACATGCGCTGCGTCGGGCTGGTAGAAAGCAAGTCGACCTCAATTATTGCTGACAGCCCTCAGGGCTGTCGTCAGTGGCAGCTATTACAGGATCAGGCGGATCCTGTAATAGCTGCCACTGACGAAGACGATACAATTGTGGTCATGCTGGTCGAGGTGAAAACAATGACTTCCGTTTCAACTGTTGGGGCTGCGACGGATTTGAAAGAGAAATATGGGGCCTTTGTATGCATCGAAAAGGTAGGAGTCGATGAGAGCAGCACCGGACTTGTAGTACAACCGCGCGAAGGCGACGGCACGACCGTTGCCGCCCCGGCGTACAGTATGTTGGGCTGTAAGTGCGAGCAGATCCGTGAGGAGTTATATTTACAGCTGACAGCTGGTGCGGAGTACAGTAGTACCCCGCCGGCTACACGTGTAGGATCGGAACGGTAAGTAATTAGTAGTAAATGGCACAAATTAGCCAATTTAGTACAGTAGCTGGTATACAGTAAGTAACAGCTAATGTAGCGGGACAGGTGTCCTGGTGTCCCACTTAGGGGTTAAGACCGGGGGCACCTCTCTTCCCTTTACGGCTAATTGCTATCCCATTCCGGTTTCCCTTCTAGTCTCAGGCTTCTAACCCGTGATCGGCCGTCCGGATCAAACACCACCGACGAGCTGCGCGTCATCGGCCACGTGAGCCTTCCCTCTTTTCGAGTCCTTCCGGGTGTGCGTTCGCGCTTGGGTAACGCAGCGGCGCGCGCTCCCATACCTCTAACCCCCTCGTTTCCGAGTGGTCGGTGTAGCATAAAAACCCCCAGACGACTGGAGGTGTATGCGCAGTTCGACCTGTAGACCCCGGATCGGAGAAGGGGTGAAGCGGGCCAACCAGCTACGGAACCGGGCTCGGGCCCGGGTAGCGGTGGTAGAGCGGGAGCGAGCAGGGACGCGCGCACGCACGAGCGGATCGACGCCTCAACGCCCCGGAGCAGCACTGGGTGACGTACCAGTGCTGGCGGGCGGAGGCGGTTCCGTGCTCGCTCACGTGCTGCGCGTCCACTCCGGCTCGGCTCGGACTAAACGCGCGCGAAGAGCGAAGGCAACGTTTAGAATAAGCTGGGTGGACTGACCTTGGCGGTCGGTTGAGGACAAGCCCGTGCTTGTCGCCCTACGCCGCCGCCGGTCCGCTCCGTATTTAATATACAAAACAATCTATCATAACACTACAGTACCGAGGTACTGTAGTGGGCTACTGTAGTGCAGGTCGGCCTGCACTGTAATACTGTCAGCTATGTCGAGGCTGACAGTACACGTATTACCCGTGGTGCGTGCGCGCTTCGTTCGGGCGTGATACACGTGTGCACGTGTATGCGCGTGTCCCTTGTCCCCGTGGTGTACACGTGGACACGCGCGGTTGTACTGTAGAGCGTCGAGCTCTACAGTAGGGGATCCTGTTGATGATCCAATCTAACTAAAAAGCCCCAGGGGGGGTTTATACCACAGTCGGGACGAAGGTAGTTATACCACAGAACTATTCCAAAAAATGGTACCTACCGAGCGCAAGTGTTGCATCACGTGGAAACCCTCGGAGTTAATCATGTCATGTTTGCTGTCGGCACGGGTGATTCTATGACGGAGCGATGGATTGTATATGTCTGTAATATACAATTTTCTGAGCAGTTTCGTCATAAGTACACTTATGCTTTGGACCGTGCACAAAGAGATGTGTTTCTTTCCAGCACACTGGCGGCCGCTCGATACCGAAACAGTTTGACAATCATCTCAAGAACACTGATGCATCAGACATTCACAGCTTCATGACTTATTATAACTTGAGTCAAGCTCTACGGAAATATGCCATATCAAGAGGGTCGCTAATACCGCTTAGCCGCATGATTCGTCTATCCCCACAGTGTATTGGAACCATTTGAAGGGGTTGTAGACGTGATGTCCCGATATATGAAAACAATTGCTCCGTTGAATATCAGAGAGAATCTGGTGGTGTCTATTGTGGGAAGGCTCCTGTCCATGCAGGTGAACAATGCGGTAGTGGCCTATAGATTATATAAAGCAAGAAGGCGAAATCTTTTGCCACGTCCAGAAGACGTAGAAGACCAGGGAGGACGAAGATATTTTTATTTCAGACACCGTCAGTCACAAAGTGAAACGTTTGGACGCTTTGTGAGGATGCTGGGTAGAGAGTGGGTAGAAAACAAACAAGCAGTTGGAGGAACGCATGGTGGCTCTGAACGGCAGAACTCTAAGTTAAAGCCTCTATCCTGCAGAGATGCGGCCGGTACATGTAATTTAAGTCCTCATTTAGCGGTGCGCAGGGTTAATAAAATGAACAGAGTGACTTACTTGTGTTGAATGGTTTTGCAAAGCGGTTCTTAAGTTGGACACACTTGGGGTTTCAGGTTGGGTGGCTCTCAGGGTTGGTGAGTGGTTGTGACTGGCCCCTTTTGCTTTCCCCGTCCGAACGCCGCGCATTTTATAGAAATCGTAGCTAAAACTTAGAACAATACAGTACCTGTTTGACTATAATAAACTATCCTTTCACTCTACAACCAATCTCCATATGATCGCTTATGTCCTTGCCTTCAATCTCCCCGACCATCCTCCTTAATACTAGTGGATACTGTACTCTTCCTTTGACAATTCTTTTAGGTATGGCATAGAAATTATATTGTAGTTCTATGCCATCCTTTTAAATAATGGAGGAGCCAGTCCATTCGGGAAGGACACACACAGTATGTTTATACAAAGTAAAATTACAAAGACATACATACTGTGCTTGTCCTTCAACCGTTACACCTCACAAAGCTAGAAGGCTGAACAGCACCATCGATCATACGCGCATAGTTGCACAGCCAACGTACTGTGTTCTATGCTCATGGGCATAGCGCGGCACTAAAAATGGCAAAGAAAAGGTGACACGAAAGGGCTCTAGACAGGTGAAATGGTGCCAGACATGCCGACAAGCGGCCTGTTCTGTTTGTTGGACCGAGTGGCGCACCAAAGACAGACTTAAGCGCGCTGAGCCGAGTGCCGCTGAAGTTAGGGACTTTGAAAGGAGTTTACGTGTAAGGCAGCGTGTTTCGTAAGGCAGAGACAAACACAGAATCGCGTGGCGATTAGAAAAATAGTTGGTGTGTTTGTTAGAGCTACCTTCTTGTTTTTGTTTCTTAAATATAATCGTTGCTTCCGAAAGTGCATGTTACTGATTCATTGAGCTTTACTGTGACACAATTCAGTTCAGAGACAACACTGCCTTTTATTTAGTAGGAATACTATTTACAGTGGGAATAGGTCTCGAAGAACATGTTGGCTGAGGTGGCGATTAGCGTAGTGAAGTAGAATGTCATCTACAAAAAAGTCCAGTGTAGGGGTCAATATCACACAGTTGACCATGTGGAACAAACAGAATTGGTTGAACCTTGTCGTGATGAAGGGCCCCAAGAAATGAGAGAAAGAACACAAACGTAGGAGAACGCGCAGAAGATGCGGTCAAAGGTGCTTGACATCAAGTACGGTGATGTTAAAATTGTGAGGTTTTTGATGTTTTGTTGATCTAATGTGCACAGAGGCAGTAGATGTTCAACAAAAGTGACCTAAGGTGCTCTAAAACGAAGTAGAATCTGCAAATTGAAGATCTCGTAGACGGGTGTAGTCGACTATTTGAGAACGCTGGCCCGAAAACACAAAACGGGGCAAGGCATTTTTTTGAAGAGCTCGTGTTCAGGAAGAAGAAGGGCTCCACAGATAGAAGTACATTCACCAGAAAGAAGAACTCGAGACGATGCCACAGACATATTTTTCGTGTCTTCACTCTTACATTTCGAGACATTTATGCGAAAAAAACCCTAAAGGGGCATATCGAGACCGTCTACAAAACCGAGCACAGGGATATGAGCCAGTCAACTGGCGTATTTAGTTAAAGCGCAGACATAGCCTGTCCAGTCGTCCGAAGTGTGTAACGAGTACTCGTCACAGGTTTATACGCACACATAGCGAAAAATACGGCTAGAACTTTTGCAATTAAACTTTCGATTCAGAATTTCTTCAGGCGTGAACCCTGAATTGCAACCAAACATTACTGTCCACCCGTCCGTAAAGATGCCAAAAATTTGACGCGCTTGATGGGAACGTTTCCATGTGAACAACAAAGCCATCCTTTGCCTTGCTTTTCGTGGCTGAGAGTTTTAGTCACAGAGTTCTATTCATAGTCGGGTGGGTAAGCATCTTCAAGCTTGAGCTAATATGTCGTACCCCTCTGTACAGACGTGTGCCGTTGACAGTGCAGCGACACGTGTGCACTTGAGACCTTCGTGGCACCTTGAAACGGGCCGCCTTGGACCTAGGGGGGCCTTGACCTGCTGGGCCCTGCTGCGCGACCGTCGCAGTGCAATGAGTCGCTGCGCGACCGTCGCGGTCGCGCCGCGACTCATTGCACTGGCCTCGAAGACGTCAAAGGATAGCGCATGGAGAGCGTTTTAAATTGCTTCATTGACAGGCATTGCAAAAAACGACTGGAAAGGATATGCCCTTCACGCTGCGATGCTATCTGGGTCAACGCAGAACTCAGTTCCGGCGATGTGGACGGGATTCCTATGATTTGCTCCGACGCAATGTGCTGCCCGGGAGCGGCTGAAAACGACCAAGTTAGCGTTCCCACGATACGAAACAGATGTGCTTTTTTAGCTCTCTGTCGCCTCGCTTAGATGACGAGGCGCCAGTATTTCTACCCTTTGAAGGGTAGGTGAACCCCATGCAGAAGGGAGGTCTCACGCCATCCCGAAAGCTGTCCGAGAGATCCGAATGTTCCATGGGGCACATTTTTGCAGCCGGCACGTACCGTGGGGACGTTATTCTATAAGTCAAGGGCCGGGTTGATTTTGTCTCCCTGCGTGACCATCCCGGCTCCAGTATTGGTACGACGGTCTGACCGTTTACAAGAGTAAGGGTTTTCCACCGCACGGGAATGCTGCGGCACCTCGCGCGTCTTCGTTGTCCGGGTATAGCTATCAGTTAATTCAGTAGACTAGGTGAACGAAACGAAGACGTTAACTCGATGCTGAGTGTGAGGAAAATTCCGCTTCGTGCAAATATGATGTGCATTCCAGGGGTTTCTGGATCACCAATGCTTGGCTGGATAACGAATACGAACAGAGGCGAGCTAGAGGTGTCCAACACAGAAAGAAAGAATGACTGCCCCGCTGAGCGAGGTCTTTACTGCGATATGGATCAACAAAGAGGGTAAACGATGGCAAGAATGCCGGGGATAAAGCTCGCCAGATTCAATGCAGCAATACTGAACAGAGAAATGCTCCATGAAGAGACATAAGTATGGTACAAAACTCTTCAAAATCTGTTCGGAATGCTCGCGATAGTTTACTCCGGCTGATCCGCTTCCTCGGTCTCACTCTCGGTGGCAACCTCCTCGTCTTCCTCTTCTTCGAAAACGATATCCTTGCCTGTGGTCGGGGACACCAAAACGCACGTCCCACCGGCACCTTCAATTGCATCAACAGCGCTGGTGGTAAACGCATGGGCCTTAACGGTCAAGTTCTTAACCGTGAGGTCCTCCCCGCCCACGACCTTATAGATCTTCCTCTTCTGCTTTGTCATGATCCCCATAGCCTTGAGCCCCTCGAACGTGACCACGCTGCCTTCCTCGCACCCGTTCAAGAACTCAATCTTCATGAGCGCGTACTCGGTCTTTTTGTGCCCAGGACCCATGGGCCTGCCGACGAACTTCGGAATGCGGCGATACAGCGGCGTCTGCCCGCCCTCGAAGCCGGGGCGCACGCCGCGTCCGGAGCGGGATTTCTGGCCGCGCATGCCGAAGCCGCACGAGCCTCCCTGCCCAGCGCTGTGGCCGCGCCCCTTGCGCTTCTTCCTCTTGCGCGAGCCCGGCGCCGGGCGCAGGTTGGTCAGCGTGAAGATCCCCTCGTCCTCGGGTGGCAGATCCGCGTACGTCGCGTCCTGGCGCTTCTTCCAGTCGAACAGCTTCGCCGTCGGCGTCACGCGCGCGGAGACGGCCGTCGAGGGGCGCGCCCGCAGCGGGCAGGCGCGCGGGCGCAGGCCCACGTAGGAGACGTGCTTCGCGCGAGGCGCGCCGAGCGACGGCGCGAAGGCGGGCTGCATGTTGCGAGAGGTCGAGGCCGGGTAATGGGGGATGCAAACGTCGGATGGCGGGGCGCGGATCGCGGCGGGGAAAGACAGGTTTCGTGGGAGGTGAAGAAATTTGCCCTTGGGGCATTTCGTCGTCCAGCGATTCTGTGAGCTCGAACGTTTGGGAAGGAGATTGTGATCTACAGTAGGCACGACTTCGGATCAATGATCTGTTGTTTGCCCGCAGTTGATCTTTTCGCGGACATGCCAGCAACACACTGTAATGCAAAGCGGTGTAATCGCCTCCCGTCGCCGGTCGGTCATCATCCTTTCGATCCTTATTCCCATCCCCGTCGATGAGCATTCGCATCTCGCCACCAACCTCGACTCTTCGCCGCTTCCTTTCACGCTTTCAACATCCGATTTAGCACGATGTCGGAGGCACTCATCTGGGAAGTAATGAAGAGCTACAGCTCAAAAGGCATGCGCCGCACGCACCCTGTAGGCGTCTTCACCCGCGAGAAGGGCTCCCTTTGCCACAAGCGTACGCTGCGCGACTCCGGCCTTGCCCGCATCAGGGCCGTCGACGTAAGCATCAACGACGATGGCATCCCGGTCCTCGCCATCAAGAACGCCAACCCCGAAGAGAGCCGCCTCCCGGACAAGATGTGGCGCGAGGTCACGCTCTCGGGCGGTGTTCGCAAGGCCCTGTCCACCACCGACTCCTTGCTCTCCGACTACAAGCCCGCGCTCAAGAAGCCCGCCATGAGGAAGGTCAGCGCCGCGTACATGGCCCTCGCCAGAAAGAATAAGGCCGTCGCATCGGCTTGATCGCTCTGAGGCCGTTGACTGTACAGAGTTGTCTTACCGTCCGAGTAGCGATGCTAATTACTACGTTTGCGATAGCGCACGCAAAGAGCTTTGCAGCATTTTGTTTTTGAGGTGCGTTCGGTAAATGTTGTACTTCTGCACTGGGTCATCTCACAAGCCAGAGATCAAGATTTGCAATCTTGTTTGACGATCCGTCGCACCCCTGATTAACTGCCTCTCTGTACTCCTACAGTATCAACCCACGAACAACAATCGTTGCTTCTACGGCTTTACCTCGCGAAAGGTGCCCAGCGGATCGTTCTTGAGGGACAGCTTCTGTGCTAAACATACTCAGGTCTGTCTCGCAAAATTTGTCTGTTTATGTGCCTTGATGTTGCAATCGTTAAGGAAGCCTTAGTGTCTGCACGTCGCACGGCTGGTTCCTGCCATTCTTGGCTAGGAGCCTAGACGCAGACGAAGACATACCTTGGCGAAATTTTCGAGTACTGAAACAGCTAATAAAAACAAGTTCTAAATACTTTCAAAACAGTCATGGAGATCAGCAAGCGTCTAGGAACTAAATTGGTTCCCCACCATGAAAAGAATAGAGCCCCTCTTCACGGAGGCGCCAGTAGTCACTTGTAATGTGAATTCTATCCGAAAATACCTTTTCATACGTTCCTTTCTTCACAACTTCAAACTAACGAGGATGACTGCCCTCCACCCTTGGACAAAGACCATATTCACAAAACTTGTCCGATGAGGGCGGAGCCAGAGGGAAAAAGACAGATAGACGTCATCATGGCTGTGATCACTCCCAACCTGCGGCCGAAAGAGAAATAGTGGGCCCTCAAAAAGCCTAGGCATTCCTCACTTCGCTTGCTCGAGTTCGTCAGACATTTTGTCTTCCACGAGACGGAAAGCAACGCCATCGTCTTCTTGAAGCGGGAGGCCTAGCACCAGATCCTCACAATCTCCATCGTCGTACTGAACTCTGAATTTCTTCTTCTTGAAGTTGTATAGTTCTACAACACCAGGGTACCAACCATCATCCCATCTCACCTCCAATCGCTTGTTCACAAGCTTCTTCATCAGCTTTCTTTCAATCGGTTCCAGCATGTTGCAGGAGCTGGTTCCGCACTGACACATGAAGGATCGCTTTTGTCTCTTTCCAGACAGCCCATAGTCTTCAAAGCAATAGTTATATGTTAGTTCAGTCCCGGGTGTGATGTCCTGAATGGCAAAGATCCCGACATGCGTCTGGCGAGTACAACTGTCATACCATTTCTCGGTCTGACAGTTGGGCTCGCAGCTTGAATTGATGAACCGGGAAAGGTTCCCCTTGAACTTGGCGTCTACCAGTAAGTCGTTGGCGAGGTCCATAAAGTAGTATTCATTGCTTTTTTCCTGTTGGATTCTTTCCAAGCGGTCTTCTAAAATATCTCTGTCAATAATTTCGCCGACGTATTCGATCACAAAAGACCCTGCCTTCACATGTTCTTCAACACGCAAACCCCATCCGCGTTGATCGGCGGTCAAAAAAGGCTTCATCCGTGGCGAACCGCGTTTATGAAAAGCAAGGTTGGTGCATTTTTCCCCGCCTTTGCACGCTGCTACATTGCAAAAATAGTGCGATGCAAAATTGAGACACTGGGCGTCCGCGCAACATGATTCCTTCCCGTTTGAGGTGCATTCGCAACATGAGATTTCAGATTTCTTGGGCTTGGGCGGAGGTTCAACTCCCACAGCCCAGACTGATTTCTTTAAAGGAGTGTACTTTGGGAGGTGCGGTACAATCGCGACGGCTTCACTCGTGGACTCAGCTTGTGAAGTCTTTTCGTAATTCCACCACTCCGCCCCGCTGAGATATCCACTCGGCCATACCCGGGGCTCCTGAAGATAACCCCAAATCTCTCCCACAGCGACCATAAAATCTGATCTTGAGCTGTGTACAGGGTAGTCTCTAGCAACGCCCGCTCCGAATGGTGTGAGATTTTTTTCCGGAAGCATGGCCACTTCCCCCGTCCCAAAAAAAATGCACGGAAGCTTGTTTGTCGGCGAGGTAGGATTCTCTGGAGGCATTTTTAGTTGGGGGTACTGCTCCCGGGCCATGCTCCTGGGCAAAATCTGCACGGGCCAGTACGGAAAGCCGCGCACCTTAGCCCAAAACACAAGTTCCTTATCTGCACGCTTGATGAAATGCTTGACCTTTTTGTTCGGGTGCTCTGTTGAGTAAATATCTGCGAATCTGTGATAAAGCTCAATGCACTCGGGCTCGCACCACCAGCCGCGTGGATAGGTAGTGTTTCTATGACAGTAGTCTTGGACTTCCTTCAAGGCCCGCTGAAAGAAACTCCTGTTCCTCTGAGACAAGTGCATGTTACGTTGAAGACCTTCCCCCCAAGGTATGCATGATTTTCCTTCATTGACAAACGCAACTTCGCAAGTCCCAAAATACATGACGCAAGTGTTATCGATTTTGCGCCTAAATCTCCTTGCCTTTTGAAACCTCTCTTGCTTTTCTATTTCCGGTGTCATCCGGACATGTTGGGTCGGCCAGTAAGGATGACCCTTGATCTTTGTCCATACAATATTCTCTTGCTCTGCAATGGGAGCTAGTCTTAAGAGAGCTTCGGTGGCACCAGCATCATTGACTCCAGTAATGGAGGATTTGGAATCATAGACGACAGAAGAATGACTGTCGCTGCCAGAGCTGGCATCCATCGGATGTATTGGCTTTGGTAAATCCTCCGGAATCATAGGAGACATGTCGCTCGGGCTTTCAACCACATACTTCGGGCGGGCAATGCGAGCGCGTTCGCCGGTCTTGGAAACCTTGAGACGGGAAAGAAACTCTTCTGGATCATCGTCCGAGTCTTCCTTTCGAGGGAGAATGGCTGGACGCAGGCGCTTGTTTTTGCGGAGCGGTCGCATTTGAGACTTTTCAGTGATATCGTGCGAATCGGGGGGTCCAGAGGAGGGGGAAGGCGTTATCGTCGCAGGGGAGAATGAGGGGGCGAGGGAGGTGGTAGGGGTGACGAGTTGCCGGGTGGGATGGTCTTGAGGGTCGCCGCCGGCGTTGACGGCGACGGAGTTGGCAACCTCGTGCAAAGGTACAATGACAGGAACACGCTTTCGAAGCATCACTTCGTAGGTGGTGGGGGTTGCCAAGTGGGTTGGCAAGAGGGGGGTGATGTCGTTTTGGGAGCGCGCAAGCTGTAGGGGAGGCGAGAGGTCGCGAAACCAGAGGAAAGGTTTCGAGAGACGCAGAAGGGGGGCGGCAGGGTGTGCCGAGAGGAGGTTTTCATGGGGGCGGAGCAGTACAAGTTACATAAACAATACGGGAAAAATTGGCGCAAAAAACATCAGTTGAGAAGTGCAGTGTACCCCATTCGAGATATTGTTGTCCTAGTCCGGACCGGACGGACCCTCGCCCCGACCTATTCGCGCCCGACGCGTCTGACACGCGGCCTTGTGCTTCTGTGGGAACGCCCGACCGCTTTACACAGTCTCTTCCGTCATTGAAGGTGGCAGCTCCTTTTCTAGAGGTCTTTCTTCGAATTCTTTGTTTTGGCGCCAACTTCTGCATATGCGCCTCCAAAGACACATTCCAGACTATGTGCTTCCGCCCTCCTCCCCGCCGTTACCCGCCACTAATCTAAATGTGCCTCTGATCCCCGTTTCCTTTCACTATATATATTAAAGATACTAGTGCAAGACTTTACTGCACTCCTCGTTGAAGCATAATCGTCTAGAATCCTTCGATTTTCCCTCTACAAACATTTGCGAAACCATTACTTGTCGCCGCCAGGTCTACATTTTCCACCAAAGCAACCTTTTTGCTTTTTTTCCCCTGCCCTGATTCTTTGTCTTTTCGCTCAAGTCTGTGTACCACACATACCACATGAATCTACTCTCACTCAGGAACTCCTGGCTGCGGATCGAATTCTATAGTACCCATTTGTCGAAACCGATTTTGTTCAGCTTCTACCTTCCTACGATATGCACCACTTCCCCTCCTAGTCTGAAGATATTATTCATGTTTGATAATCCTTTACGATCTCCTTAGTTTTTTCTTAAGTCTGAATGTTGTATTTCATCCCACTAATTTGGCAAGTACTAAATGCGAAAAGGCGACAGCGTCCTCCGAGGGCGATGAATTACACTCAGATCCCCCTTGCCCGGCCAAATTGACGCATAGCTTTCTTCCCCTTGCGTTGTTGCTTACATAAATTTTCAGGTTTCGCGCCGTTTCCCAAGGTATTCAGCGTTGCCACGTACTCTACAATAGATTTCACCAGAATCACAATTAACCTTCAATATACACGAAGAGATCTCATATACCAGGAACAACTTAGATGCTGAGATGAGGTTTGCAGATTGAGTTTTTGACAGAAAGCGCACGTGGAGGTCCGTCCAGACTCTAGCACAATGCCGATTGTCGAGGAGACCTGTTGACTGGAAGAGGGTAGGAAATCTCGGCTCCGCGAAAGGCTAGCCAGGGAAAAGAGACAAACAAAGAGGGTCAGATACCCCTCTGTTGATGAGAGGACTGCTCATCCTTTTTGCATCTATGCTTACGCTGGTAATGCTTGCAACGGAAAAGAAAATCCTTTCAATATCGATGCAAGTTTTGAAGGTAGCATGTTCCATTCTAGTTTAACTATTCCGAAACTACGGATTGGCCCCGGGAGCACATATGGCACAGTATACGGATGTTAGAACAGAGAAGCTGGCATATTATGACTATGTACGAAGTACACTAATGTTCCGACAAGAAGTCCAGGGCATCGAAGGAAAAAAAGACTTCTTCCACGTGGAAACGCAAGCCTCCACAATCTTTGTCTAGTGGAGCATCTCATGAAACGTTTTACAACATGACCTCTTAGAGCCTCGAACCAACATGACTTGAATTCTATGTAATCAGCGAAGTCTCTCTCTATAGAGTACATGTGTGCTCTAGACAGATAGTGACCCCTACAAAGAACGACGAGCGCAGGCCAATTGCCTTTTCGAGCATCAGCTTAATTATGACTTGCAATGAGCAAAGAACTGAGAGCGATAAAACACGTTTTAGAAAGGGGCAATAATCTCTCCCTCCTGACATCACATCGGGAAATAATGTCCCTAGGGATGGGGTGTTTCAGAGCTACAAAACGTTGGACACTACTTTGATTCATGTAGGTGAAGAGACAATCGCCATGTGTACGTAGGCTCAGTTATGTGGGAATCTAAAGCGATGTATCCCCTTCAATGAACAAGATTCAACCACTTGACGGGGTCAACTACCTTTAAAAGCTACTCGTGCGAGTGGGAAAGTTCTTATTGTTGCCCCCATAACACTATCGATATCAGCCATCATTAATAGTAGCACTGTTGTTCCCCTACTCGACACACACACCTGCTCACTGGACTTTGTACTCAGTCCATTTCCGCAGAACCACAGAACCACAGAATCAAATGGTCATCATGTAGTCTCTCTCCGACCATACATGATCAGTACAGACACACCCCTCAATCAGAGAGCGAAGGGACTAGGCTTGTAAGAAGCTATTTTTTATTTTGAAAAAGCATGAGTGCTTGTAAGTCCTCCAATGAGAGGTTTGATATATTCAGAAAAGTAGGCGTCGGTCTTTTCTGTCCGTGATTCGATTTTGCTCTGGACCGCTTTCTGTCGAACACCAGTGGACTTGCAACGTCGTCAAAAAGCCTGATTATGCTGCACTCCAACACTATCATGCAATGGAACAGACTTCTCTGTGTTCACAGACAAGGATGATGACCTTACTGTACTGAAGATATTCGTAGTTTTACGATGGTTGAATGGTCAGTGGGACATCGGCTAAACAGGATCCAACATGCAACACGAATGAAACATTAAAAGGACGAAGAATCAAAAGGAAAACAAAAGAAAGAAAGAGAAAAGACATGATGAAAAAGGAGACACGACACGAGGGCGGCAGTGCCGGGAATGGGTGGGAGAGAAATAGACATGGGGGAGGAGAGGAAGCGGGATAGGACAGCTCGACTCTCCTACTTATGGGTCGGCGGCGAGGCGGGTGCAGCGAGACGCCCGGCTGCCTGTAAGTGCTTACAGACGCGCGCCATTTCCCGTGGGGTCCACCCCTATACACTCTGTACATTGACGCGTAAATCCCTGGTGTTCATGCGACCAGCTGCGAGGGGAGCTCCACAGATGATGAAGTTTATATCATCAATAAGATTGATCGCACCTCAACAGCTCAAACATGGTACACAGGTTTCGTAAGACTGTGATGAGGAGACCCCAGGAAGGATTTTTCCAGCGGATAGTTACCCGATTCTAATTCATCCGCTACGGCATCGACGTATCCACATGTCATACAGTGTCTGCAGGGCTTCATGTGGAAATGTTCAGCAATCGAATAAAAATCACAAAAGCAAATTGGAAGATCTCTTTTTGTTATTCGCTCCAGATATTCGTAATACCTTGATAATGAAAATGCTTTACAATAAGCGGGCGTCCCTCAACTGTCTTCATTGCATATAAGAACATGTGTTTCGAATACAATGGCGTATTTTAGAGTGAGCTACACAGTAGAGCTGTGGAGAGACGTAAACACTGCCCCTCAATGCGAAGTTCCAATCGAAGCAGTGTTGTTCTAGTCCCGGCATCCAGGCTTTCGCGTCTATCTGGATGTGGAAGAACTTTGTTTGGGTGTCAAGACCCAGTCACATGCCAGTCAAGAACAATGGATGATGAGACTGGTTACGCAATTCCCTTCCCACGCAGATTTGTTAAAAGAAAAGGGCGTGCGTGATGCATTTTGAAAGAAAAGGATGAGAAAGTAATGTACCACCCATAGAAAATTTAGAAATGCCCATATTTCGGCGAATCGGGTCATTCTGTCGCAAATATAATATTGTCGCTTATGTTAACTGCAAGAGAAAGCAAAAGCTACTGGCGCAGATCTGTACCAATAACTACTTAGAAGTATTCTGTGAAAGAGAGCTATGCGTGGGGGTTTCAAAAACAGTTACCGGAGTTGCACTGGCAGGGGCCCCAACTCAGGGTAAACCACAAATTGAGCTCGAAAGTACAGTGATTCGCACGTTATGCGCTGTAGTGTAATGAAGACATGACAGGTGCAGTGTGTGTTTATCGTTATGTCAAAAATTAATAGAAGAATAGTGCACTCAGCTTGCAATCCACCTTTCGAAGAGTATCTTTTGCGGTTGCTTCTCCAAGCAATATATTTTTGTCACAGAGCGCGAAACACTGAACTAGATTTTCAATGCAGTGAGCGGAATTAGACCATGAAAAGTAAAGGGATATGGCCTGAGCCCCGGTGACAGTGAATGCTCTAAGCTGCAACCTCACGTTTCTCTCGCCTATGACCCGCGATGCGATTATCTCTTGACGAAAGAAATGTATTCCAGCCCTCTTGATCTGCATACCACATACCGCTAAAACACTAAGAAGAAAGTTACTGTAATACTATGACATCCCTAGGGCGTCCCAAAGCTCCCGTCTCTAGTCTAGAGAGCAAAGAATCAACGGTACTAAGAACTCTGAAGACCTAAAACCCTTCCGTGATGGATCAGACTACCAAATGTATCTACTCACGGGTTTTCAGGTACTGATGAGCCATATAAGCGCATGAAAGGAATACAAACAAGTAACGATTCCAAGAGCATTGATGCAATGATGTGTGAAATCACACAGATGCACTCTAATGGAGCCT